TTTCAACAGAAGATGACATCTTTTCTCCTGTTGGCAACCCAACCTTCCCAGACAATGTCTTTGCTACCCATTTGGCCTGTAACTCTATTACTAGACTCGGCACTGCCTGATTATGCAATCAAATACTTATTAATACGTGGCAGTTAAATATCAATGAAAGGAGAAAAATGCAGCATTTACTATTAAGAACCAAGTATAACATTTGAGTAAAAGTTTTCAGCAATGGCTCCTAGTATCAGCAAATAAGATTTTGAGACTTCAAACTTCAAACAAATGCTAATCATGGAGGAGAAACATTTTACCAGTTAGGCAGTCGCAGGAAAGAGAGCCGGGGGGCTAAGCTTGGTGGGAAAACATGTTGGTATAGAGGTCCAACACGATTATCATCCACAGTAACTATGCCATTTGTTCTGAGAAATGGACAATGGGAAATGGTACCTGTGCCTGCAAAAGAAATCCATTCTTATCAATAATAGGCATACAAAAATTTGAGCAATCTAAGTGACACCGATAAGATTTTTTCTTCGTGGTAAATACCCTGTGCAATGGACAATGACATCTGCAGAAACAGCTGATCCATCCTGGAATACCACCTTACCACCTTCATAAGCACATTTTATCTGTAGAGCTATGCCATCTATAAGTAAAGATTGAGCACATACTGTTAAATCTTAACGAATTCAATTCAGGTTAAACTGAACAGAGAACCATTGGATGCTGCCAAGCGTTGTCAAGATTTTCTAGCTTCTTTTAATCCAGAATCTAGCTCTCTAATGGCCTGATGAACTTCTCTTGCAACAGGTGAGAGCTCTTTCAAAATGTCTCTTGCACTGGGTCCATTACCAATCAGCACGACAATCTGTCACAGTTCATTAGCATAGCCCTGAATCCGAACAAAAAAATGCTACTGAAAAAAAAAAAGAAAAGAAGAGTACATATCACTTGGGTTATATAGGTTCATGATAAAACAGCAACACTGGTTTGTAGTTTGCACCATCTACAAAGCTAACTTGATTTTGAAAGGGTTCAGCATTCCGGTAGTTATGACCATACATTTGTAACCACCGCCAAGCATCCATGCCTGAAACATTACCTATGATTAGATTAGTGCTAGAACTGAACTCTACTTCTCTTGATGCTAGTTGTTCAAACAACAATTAGATTAGTGCTAAAGCATACATATTTTGAGGTAATTTGGGCTTATAGAAGAAATTGAAACAGAGATTTAGAAAATTCTTTGTTGGGTGTGAAAGGATCAATTGTATTGAATATATAATATGAGGAGAAATGGCATGCAATTACCTGGAAACTCTGCAATTCTGGGCTCAGTGTGTTTACCATTGCAAACGACCACGGCGTCAAACGATTCCTCCGCCGCCGATTTCCCTCCTGAAGGTCACTCAATTCCTCCACTCGACGACCCACTTCTGATTCAGTTCATCAACGGGTTCGACGCGGATCACTTCATGTCCAAATGGAATCGAATCTACCAATTCGAAATTAGGGCGAAATCCTCTAGGTACCCCAGTACTTCCTTATGGCCCGAGGACGTTCTTGGGTCGCATTCTTCTTTCTTCGAAAATGGGTAGTCCAGGAAGCTCATGAGCTGTCTTGGAAGGTTGACAAGAAGGGAGCTATACAAACCGCTGTGGACAATCTCCCTCGTTGGGTCAAGACCCAGAGGGCCTGTCTCGACTCGTGGATCGTAAACCCATATGCCCCCGAGTTTGGTGTTCCTTTCAAACAAAGTTACCAGGTGGCCTTCTCGCCGCAGCTCCCTGGCCGCGAGTAGGCCGGCAGTCCCTGCGCCAATGACGGCCACCTTAAACGACTCCGCCATTCTTGTGACTCAAAATCCCACATTTAGATGAAAGTGTAGTTCTACCTAACAAACGACACGAAAAAGTTGTTGTTAGTACCTAACAAACGACACGAAAAAGTTGTTGTTAGGCTAGTTCTTCAGCCTAGATTTGTCTTCATTGCTGTCACTATTCAAATTTTTACGTGTCTTCTGGCTTTCAAGTTTCATCTCAAGAATCTCATGATTCAGTTTTGTTACACGTGATTGTGTATGTGTTTTTTAATACTTATGTTTAATTTAAAATTAATTAATAATGAGTTGGGTACATTTTTTTTATATTTAATATATATATTTATATATTTAATGTAAAATTTCCTCATTCAACAGAGATATTAATGCATGTGCGGCCGGGTATGAACAGGGTGGCAAAGGAGAATACTTAGAGATTGAAGGCATTCGATGTAAATTTGAGAGCTGATATATAAGTACGACTACTTAACACCAAAAGTTAACAAGAGAGTTGGACTTCTTATAACCTTATCCTGCCGAAGCCGATGAGTAAGGTGCTTGGGCCATCCAACATTGCTCCAAATGCTGGTAAAAGCCTTGAATAGAATACATCATTTCTTCTTCGGTTGGCAGCTTCAGTTTGCCTGACAAAATACTTTTGTCACCCATTTAGCTTGCAACTCCATTAGCAGAGGCGGCATTGTCTGATACATGGTAAAATCATGGCTTTCAGAGATTAAGAATTCAGTTCACCTCTTCGTGGCGAGGGAACGCCCTCGGCTCTCCAACTTCTTTCGTCGAAAATGGATAGTCGGCGAAGCTCATAAGCTGTCTAGGAATGTTGGTCCGAAGGGAATGGTACAAGCATGTGTGGACAATGTTGCGCGTCGGGTCTAGACCGAAAGGGTCAGTCACGACCTGTGGATCGTAAACCCATGTGCCACCGAGTCTGTTGTTCCTTTCAAACGCCGTTACACGATGGCCTTCTTGTCTGAGCTCCCTGGCCGTGCCTAAGCCAGCTGTGCCCGCGCCAATGATTGCTACCTCTAATGACCGTGCCGCCATTTCGAGACCGCATGAAATTGTAGGAACAGCGCTTTGTAAGGCTGAACAACATACACTGTTTTTATTGGAGGAAAACAGAAGCCTTACTTTCATTAACATTGGATCTATCAAAACATTTTTCATGTGTTCCGCTTCACTTCACAACTATTTGTACTATTTTCTTCTTTAAATCTAATTATGCATGACCAATTATAAATGCCCCCAAAAGATTTATGATAATGATTTTTTAATAAAAAGAGAATATTATTACTAGTAACAGTATAATTTTTATTTTTTTAATTTTAAATTATATAATAAAAAATAATTATATTTTATCTTTTAATTCACTCCCTCACATATCACATGATTTAAAATTAAAATTATTAATCTTAAAAAAATTATTACTAAATTATTTAAATCTTTACAATACAATATAGTTTTTATTTTTAGAAAATGACAATTTTTCAACAACCCATTAAATAAGAAAAAGAAAATAAACAGAATATGATCTTCAATGTGAACGTTCAACTTCTTGGATCCACTTGTCAACATCCCATTCATCTTGATAGTTATAAGTGGAAGCTGAAAACGTCAAAGCCGATTTTTTTATTAGTAAAATCAATTGCTCTCTCCACTTCTCCAGTGGTGGCATGCCCAACTGAGTAACAAACCAATTTTCATACTCAAGCTGCATCAAACAAATATAGAGTGAGAGAGAGAGAAAGAGGTTTCAAAGGCATTAAACATAAAATTAATTGACAATAAATGAATTACATGCTTAGCCTCTATATAAGATGAAAACCCAACCCTAACCAATAAGTACCATTACTTTACACCAACATAATTAAGAAGAGAGATGAACTAACGTTCTCCTGCAGAAGCCAATGAGTACGATGCTTGGGCAATCCCGCCGGCTCCATGTGCTTGTAAAATTCTTGAACACAAGATGTCATCTCTTCTTCAGTTGGCAGCTTCAGTTTGCCGGACAAAACTCTGGCCACCCATTTCGCCTGCAACTCCGCTTGTAGAGCTGGCACTGTCTGACAGCATATAGAAAAATATTTATGCTAAGAGAAAAGTACTGTAAAGTCGAAGAAAAAAGGAGTTTACTGATGCAAAATCCTATATATTCTTCCAGACAGACAGCATTTTCATTAATGATGACCATTGATATTTGAATAAGAATATACAGATGACTAAGAGAATCAATGCAGACAAAAATCAGTAAATAGTGATGGACTTTCAGAGTTCTAGTAAGACTAAAAACTACACAGGAGAAAGCTTTGTACCAGTATAGGTAGTCCAATGAAAGAAAGGCCGGGGGCTAAGCTTGGTGGGAAAATATGTTTGTATAAAGGTCCAACGCGATTGTCATCCACCATAACTTTTCCATTTGTTTTAAGAAATGGGAAATGGTATTTGTAGCTGCAATAGAAAATCATCATCATCAAGAAAATAAATTCTTAAAGTTAGGTGAATGCGACTCACTAGAGATTCAGCCACTTTGGCAATACCCAGTACAGTGAATAATGGCATCTGCATAAACAGATGATCCATCCTGAAATACCACTTTACCGTCTTCGTGAGCGCATTCTATCTGTAAAACCAGAGCATTTATAGATCAGTAAAACTTGAGAACTTCAATGTAATGCACTAGTTAATACCAATTGAATTTCTCTTGAACAGAACAGAGAACCATTGGATACTGCCAAACATTATCATAATTTTCTTGTTTTTTCAATCCAAAATCAACCCCTCTAACGGCTTGATGAACTTCCCTTGCAAGAGGAGATACATTTTTCAGGATATCAATCGCACTAGTTCCCTTTCCAATTATCACCACTATCTGTCAGCAAGAATCAATTTAGAAACTTAAATTTTGATTTAGTAATTAAAGCCTCTAATCCATTCAAAAATTCCTACCAAAAAAATGGATTCATATATATGTAAAGGTAATGCAACATGATTAGCCTACCTGATTTTGAAAGGGTTCAGGAGTCCGATAGTTATGGCTATGTATTTGCTGCCCTGGCCAAACATTAATTCCTGTAACATGACAAATACTAGAATTAAATTAGGGATAGAGAAAAAATAAAATGTTTTAGAAATTAAAATATTAAGATTGGTAATGAAAAAAACAATATATCTTTAATAAATTAACACATAAAAAAATTTATTAAAAATATTTAAATAATTTTAGGTAAAACTTAAAATAGTAGGACATTCAATAATTTCACACTCTCATTTTCAGTTTTCTCATTAAATTATACTTCTTTTTTTTTTTTAACTATCCAACATGAAGGTTAAACTTCTCCTAATTAAACCCATATCTTAAGTTAAAAGCAAAGCTAAACTTGATTTTTGGGATATTGACTTCCAGATTTGAAATCTGGAAATTAATTTCTCCAAAAACAAGCGGGCCGTCCGGCCCAAAATCTCCGTCAAAGGAACTTTGCTGGTATTGCCCACGTGTCCGAGATTTTACAAATTAAAGTAATACAAAATGTTTTTCTTAAAATTTTTTTTAAATGTTTCAAACAAAAAAAAAAAATTTAAGAAAATATTTTTTATAGAAAACATTTTTCAATGTGAAATCATTTTCTGAGAACCAATCCGATTTTATTTTTCTTCTGCCGTAGCTTTTGTAGCACAGGATCTATGGAAAAAAGGGAGAGAGAAGAAGAGGAATTTTACAGGGTATGAGATTAGGAGGATATGCTTCAGTGTCGTGATGGCCAAGAATATTGACCCCTACTCTAATCGTCAAGGTCGATTGCTTCAATTAATCAGCTCTTTTTTTTCTTTTTTTTGCAAAGTTTCATTTACTAGATATACTATTGTAGATATTTGATAGAATGAGGTTACCTGGAAACTGCGCAATTTTTGGCTCAGTATTGTGACCATTGCATACAACCACGGCGTTGAACAATTCCTCCTCTGTTTCTGATTTGTCCCCAGATGGAATCTCTCTATTCTTCCACTCGATGATCCAATTTTGACTCGACCCATCAAGCGGTTCAATTCGTATTACTTCTTTCCCGAATCGGATCAGCTCTAACAATTGGAAATCCCTGGCGAATTCCTCCAGGTACCGGAGCACCTCCTCGTGGCCGGGGAACGACCTCGGGTCTCCACCTTCTTTCTTCGAAAATGGATAATCCAGGAAGTTCATAATCTGTCTAGGAAGGTTGGTCCGAAGGGAGCGGTACAAGCTGCTGTGGATAATTTCCCGTGTCGGGTCTAGACCCAACGGGTCTGTCTCGATTCGTGGATCGTAAACCCATGTGCCACCGACTTTGTTGTTCTTTTCAAACACAGTTACCTGGTGGCCTTCTCGCAGGAGCTCCCTGACCGCGACTAGGCCAGCTGTGCCAGCGCCGATCACTGCCACCTTCAAAGACTCTGCCATTCCTTGCCCACAACACAGGAATTGTTCAAGGTGCACCTGTAAGACTGAAAGTCTGAAAGTATATGTTGTTTGTATGACATTGGTGCCTGGTGAACTTGAGTTTTTGTTTAATAATAATTCAAGTACTAATCATAATATTTTATTCTAAAAAAAGTAGTATGTACAAATATATTTCATGATTTACAACACTAATTATTAAATTTAGTGAGATTTTTTTGTCTAATGATTCTATTTTATAGTCAAGCTCGAAAGCATCAGTTTCCCGTGTGTGGAACCGTGTGGAACCTTTGCTCTTGTGAAGCTGTTCTTCATTGAGTTTCCTGTAGTGGTTCTTTTGTTGTTCGCATTTATTATTCTCATGTACCTTTTTCAACTCATTTATTGCTGCTTTTCGTGGGTGGATCGAGCTGTGCCTATAACAGGGGTTTCTTTAGGGAAACCATGTCAATGTTGGATCGAGAAATAGATGATTTGGTGGTCCGAACGAATGATTTACGTTGCGATGATGTTTAGTTGGAATTAAGCGAAGCAACTGCTACAGCTGCAGAGTTGTTGGGCCATTCTTGTGCTGGTAAAATAATCTCTGCTAAGGATGTTAAGGGTCGGTTATTGTTTTCAATTCTCAGGGGAATTTGGAAAGTCCATGGAGGATTTGAATTTCGTGAGCAGTCTTGGAATACATTTATATTTGTTTTTGCTTCTGCTGAGGCTATGAGACAAGTCCTTGATGGTACCCCATGGTTTGTTAATCGAAATCTACTTGTGCTCAAAGAATGGGTTTCATCATCCAAGTTTGAGGACATTGATTTTACTACATCTCCTTTTTAGGTTCAAGTTCATGGCCTTCCTCTTGTTTATATGTTTGCTAGTAATACAATTATTGCGAGGTGGTTTGTCAAATTTGTTGAATGGGATCCTTATATAGTTCTTGGTTTAGGGATTAATAGCTTTCTCAAAATCAAAGTGGAGATTGATGTCAACTCTCCTTTACCAATAGGTTTTAATTTGCCACAAGGAGATAAACCTCCTATTAATGTTCATTTTAAATATAAAAGGTTGTTGAACTTCTATTACCAAGATGATCTATTGGGGCATATTGATAGGGATTGCTTTGATTCCAAATGGCAGGATGACAAGGGAAACTATCTTTCTCAACCTAAACCCCCTTATAAGGATCACTTAAGGGCTAATCCGTTCATAGAAAAGAAGCATCATGGTAGTTTATCTATTTCTCATCGGCAAGATTATGGTTTGTCAGCTATTCACCAATGATAAGCATGGGGCTCAGAACAGTCTACTTTGAAGAATAAGGTTGTTGAGAGTTCTAGTCGAGTACAACTCACTCGAGTTCCTCAAAGTTCTAGAGTGCAGGAGAGTTCCTCAACATTAATTGTGCCATCGCATCCTTCTCAACTCATCATACCGACTGACGCTTCTCCTGTGCAATGCATTAATTTTGAAGAGACAAAGGTGATGAATAGTCAAAAGAACTATTTGGTTCAAGAAAATGAAGCAGCTAATGTGAGCTTCTCAATCTAATCTTCATTCAAATGTGGGCCTAAACTCCATACACCTTTGTAGGCCCACTCTACAAACCATAATCTCTTGCACCAAAAACCTGAGTCTAATCAAGGTGATTGTACTATTAATATGGATCATGAATTGGGCTTGGCCTTATATAATAGGGAGTTAGAGAGGGAAGTTGTAAAGAGACCTTTTGAAAGGAAGCCCAATATGAAGTAGAAGGCCAAACGGATTGGATGGAATGACACTACAGCTAATATTGACGTTGCTTTTATGTTTCTACCACCTCATATTGTTCCAGGTACCCATCAATTTACTTATACAAATTCTTGTGTGGCTGAAATAGCAAATACTATCACGATGAAGAAGGTACATAGAAGAATTAGAATTAAAGCACTAGCTTGGTAGTTTGACCATAGAAAAGACCCTTGTTTTGATGTTGGTTGTAATTTTCATCCTACTCAATGAGCTTTTGATGATCCCCCTTATGTTCCGTCCATTGAGTTAATAGAACCATTGCCTGAAGATGCTTGTTTAGCAAAGTCTCCAATATCTTTTGATTCTCTCCATGTGAAGGATGATTAAAGGGCTTTGGTGGTTGGCCCTTCTTAGCCAGCAAAGGGACAATGAGGATCCTCAGTGGGAACTGTCAAGGGTTGGGGCTTACCCTGGCAATCTGCCAATTAAAGGCATTATGCCTTAAACATATGCCTGACTTGGTTTTTTTAATGGAGACCAAACAAAAAATAGATTATGTTGATTGACTTTGGCAACAGTTTAATTTTGATTTTGGGGATTGTGTTGAACCTAGAGGGTTATCGGGGGGTCTGACTATATGGTGAAAAGAAGACATTAACGAGTAGCTTTTCACCAAATCAGAACATTTGTTTGATGGTTGTTATACTAGTTTTGATTTTACTTGGCATTTTTCTTTTATCTATGGCTGTTTTTTTCCAACAATACAAGGGCCAATTTTGGGAGGATTGTCGCGGTTTAGCATGGGCTCCTTCTATTCCTTGGTTAGTTTTGGGCGACTTTAACACACTACTGAGTTATGGTGATAGAAAAGAAAAGGAAATAATCCTATCTTTATTTGTCCTTTTGCCCTTTTGGAATAGTTCATGAAATTTTTTCATTTTCATGAGATTGGTTTTAAAGGGAATCCTTATACTTGGAATAATGGAAGATCTAGTGTGGCCATTGACTAGTATCGCCTTAATAGAGTTTTGGCTAATCAAGCATGGTTGAAAGGGTTTCCATAATCCCAGGTCATGCATAAGGTACAAATAAGGTCATATCACAAGCTACTGGTGTTATGTTATGATGCCTTTTCTAAACTAACACAAATTATTTCGATATGAGATAAAATGATCATTAGAGGAAGGCTATCAAGAATGTGTTGCATAAGGAGGGATTCAATCAACAGCAGGATATGACCAATATAAAGTGTTGAAGAAGTTGAAACATTGTCGAAATAATCTTAAAAGCTGGAATAGATCATTAAGAGGCTTGCCAAATTTAGAAATTTAAAGAGTGACCATAGAATTATAAAAATTACAAGCTCAAGATGCTGATAAAGGGAATTTGAGCTAGCAAAAATGTCTAGTTGAATAGTTATATGCTTTATGGGCTAAAGAAGAGATGTACTAGCTCTAGAGATCTCGAGTTAATTGGCTAAAATTTGGAGACCGAAATTCCTGTTTCTTTCATACAATTGCTTCAAGCAGAAGACATAACAATCAAATAAACAAGTTGAAAAATGATGTAGGTCAATGGTTGGATTCTATTGATGATATTTCTAATTTTCTTTTCCAAAAATTCTCCAAACAATATCAACCCCAACCTTTTCCAGTAAATGTTTCTTTAATGTCTCAAATTCAACCAGTAGTCATTCCTCAAATGAATGAAGCTTTATGTCAACCTCTTTCTTTTGATGAAGTTTGAGATGCTGTCTTTTAATTGGGGTCGTTTAAAGCTCCTGGTCTTGATGGCTTTCCAAGCATTTTATTTCAGAAACATTGGCACTTGGTGAGTTACGATGTGTTTAAAGTAGTTTCTCGATCTTGGGCCACTAGTCATCTCTTGAAAGAATTTCATAGAATAAATGTTGTTTTGATTCCAAAAATGAAGAACCCTCAATATTGGGGGCAATTTCACCCTATTGCATTTTGTAATTTTATTTATAAAATTATTTTTCAAATTTTTATTAATCAGCTTAAACAGTTTCTCTCTCAGTTGATTACTCCAAAGCAATTAGCATTTACTCAAGGGAGAATGATCCAAGATAACTTAATAATGGCCCATGAGATTTTTCATGCATTTAAATATAGATGTTATGGTAGAGAAGGCAACATGGATTTGAAGATTGATATTCATAAAGCCTATGACATAGTAATTTAGGACTTCCTAGAAGGCATACTTATTAGGATGGGTTTTGATAGTTGGTGGGTGGTAAGAATCATAGAATGTGTGTGGACAATTACTTATTTAATTATGGTGAATGGTGTACCTTTCAAACTCATTTTTCCTGGTCGTGGATTAAGATAAGGTGATCCTTTGTCACCTTATTTATACTTATTTGTTTCTGATTTTCTTTCTAAACTTATATGAAGTGCAATTGTTGAAGGTGATCTTATGCCTTATCAGATTATTAGACGTTGTTCGCTAGTGAACCAGCTGTTATATGCTAATGACACTTTGTTGTTTTGCAAGGCAACTATGGCACAGGCTCAAATGTTGAAAAGCTTTCTTGCTTAGTATACTTTATTGTCATGGTAATAAATCAATCTTTCTAAATCAACTATTATTTTTAGTAAAAACACTTGTCCATTGATGAAAGCTAATAGTTGCTGATGTTTTGCTATTAATAGAGATATTAATGTGGACAAGTATTTAGCATTACCTACCAAGTGAGGGAGATTAGGGAAGCAAAGCTTGCAAGCCATTGTTGAGAAGGTACAACAGAAACTCTAGCTTTGGAAAAAAATCTCTTTTATCTTTAGCAAGGCGAGAAATTCTTATAAAGGCTGTAGCTAATCTATCCCTAATTATATTATGCATTGCTTCAAGTTTCCTAAGAATGTGTGCTTATAGCCAAATAGTTTGATTAGTAATTTCTGGTGGGGAAAAAAGCAAGATGAATCAAAGATTCATTGGGTGGGATGGGGAAAACTTACAACTGGTAAAACTTGTAAGGGGTTTGGGCTTCAAAGATTTGGAGGCCTTTAACTTAACTCTTTTAATAAAACAATGTTGGGGACTTGTTAATAATCCTGGAGCTCTTTGGATTAGAATGTTGTGAGGCCTTTATTTTCATTCTTCTAACTTCTTTTAGGCCAAGTTAGGCTCTTCCCCACCTTGCATAAGGAGTAGCTTACGTAAGGAAGGAAGTTGTTGGCATTAGGCCTCAGTTGGAATGTTGGCAATGGTCAAAATGTCTTTTTATGGATGCATAAATGGATTCCATCACTTCTTGAATTCACTATGACTACTCCATAACCCCTAATGGTATAAATTATAGAGTTTGTGATTTTATAACACCCAATCTACTTTGAAATGTTGCTAAACTTTCTCATTGCTTAAATGATGTAGATGTGAGAGCCATTGTCAAAATACCTGTGGGATTGTTGCCTGACAAGGTTATGTGGCATTATACCATGTTTGGAGAATTCACCGTTCGCTCTGCTTATTTTGTTGCTAGAAGTAATGGACTAGGGTTATATCAATTTGCTGATTCTCAGGTTAGTCAGCCTACTGCTTCTTTTTACAAAACCATTTGGAAACTGAAAGCATCCCCCAGAGTTGAATTCTTCTTGTAG